TTTGTTTTTTTAAAAAAAGCCTGGTCCATTAGTCACTCCTATCTTTGTTTAACACCTTTCCCTTTCCCATTCACCCTCTGGTGCAGGTGTTAATGAAATTTGAAATGACTAATGGACCAAAAAACGTCCTGGAAAATCTATCAAATGGATATTATAATCAGCCTCCACACAATCTAACTTAAATGTTACTTGATAGGTGTAGAGAAAGAACTAGAAAAACCAGAAAAGACATTCCACAAAAAGCAAAAAGGAGAGCGATTATAAAGTTCAATTCTCTGGTAAACCAGAAATTAAAGACTTACTCACGTGAGGTGAATTAACATTATAATGGTTATCTTCTAAATAATTCTCTAAGCCTGCCTCAGGGAGGTAGGAAGTTACCTGTCATAGATGCTTACAGACCACTTGAGAAAAGGCTGTAATGGGCAAGGAAGACTCTACAGTTTCCATGGTTCTTACAGACACAGAGACACGTGTTTACAGACACAGAGCTCACCTCTAACAAAGAGCTTTAGCTAATTAGATAAGGCTTGCTCATCCTTATAGGACCCTAGGTTCTGTTTTGGCTTTGTTTCTGCCCTCCTGCCTCAAGGCAGAGATCAGCTTCGGCTTTCATCAGTGTTCCCTCAAGCATTTCTAGATGGCTCCGAGTCAAGGTCTAGAGAAAGTTAGGTGTTCTCTCTCCCCTCTGTAAGGTCCTGTTTGTAGGGCTGATTTCCTATTCCGATGCCATCTCCCTCCACATGAAAGACAGGGCCTGTCCTAGGGTCTGAGCAGGATTTGCATACTGGGACAAAACAGTAATCTTCACCTTTGTTGCAGAGAGATATATAGAGGCATGGAGTCATTATCTTATGTTCTCCAAACCCCTTGGCCTCGCCTGTGGTGTCTTGCCTCCTTCTTCCACCACAAAATCTCTGTGTAGTCAGTTCATACTAGCGTTAGCGAATGTCCAAGTCACCACATATTCTGCATACCGTTTCTATTGCTGTCTCCTTTCTCCCTAGCATCTCTCCATCTATATAGATTCTATGCAAAATGCTTTCCCCAGTATAGGCCAGATTTAGTATTTAGAAAGAATTTCAGGGATATACAGAAAATATCATCTATTTTTCTAAGGATGTACCATGGTCGGTATTTATTAGAGAAAATTCTTTAACATTTTATTGATCAAAGACATAAACTCTTGATTAATCATATTTCAGCTGCTCAGGAATATGTAAATAGCTACACAACCAAATCTTGCCTGAAAATCTATAAAACCTTGCCCCTTCACCCTTTATCCCTCACAGACCTTTCTCCCACAGTTGCACTTCCTACTCTTAGCCTTTGCTTCCCAGAGGACCGGAGTGGACACAAACGCTGAGATCATCACTGTTCATTTGTTTGGCATGATTAGTTGACTTATAAAAGGAGTATTGACTTGATTCAAATATTTACCTTACTTTAATATTAAAGGAACAAAGATTGTTCACTGAAAACGGATTTTCTTGGAAATCTCAACCTGGGTGATTTTAATTAGGTGACTGATGTTTGGGGGGACTGATTCTCTAGGTTAAGACCCTGATGGAGGTTTTCACCAAGGCTGCAAATGGAGGACATGCCATATAAAGAAGTGAAGCAAGAAAGAATATTACAATACGGAGCAGAGGAAACTAGAGATACAATACAGGCTGCCAATAGGATCGTAGGGTCAAAGCATAGGAGTGATGTATAGCTTTGCCTGAGTCAGGCTGGGAAATCAGTGCCTGACATCAGACTTCTCATATATGCCTGGTGTATCCGTTTTCTAGGGCTGCCATAACATATTGCCACAAATTGGGTGACTTAAAACAACAAAAATTCATTCTCTCACTGTTTGGGAGGCCAGAAGTCTGAAATCAAGGTGTCACTGGGTTGTTCCCTTTTTGGGACCTCAGAAGGAGAATCTGTTCTAGAATTTTCTCCTAGTTTCTAGTGGTTGCCAGCAATTCCTGGCATTCCTTAGCTTGTGGTAGCCTAACTACAATCTCTGCCTCAGTTGTCACGTGACATTCTCCCTGTGTTTCTGATTCTCTGTGTCCAAATTTGCCTCTTCTTATAAGGACAATAGTCATATTACATTTAGGACCCACTTTAATCCAGCATGACCTCATCTTGATTATATCTGCAAACTATTTCAAAAAAGGTCACCTTCACAGATTGAGTGGACATGAATTGGGGGGAGGCAATATTCAACCCAGTATAGCTGGGAACTTGAGTGATTAAAAACTAGCCTTTAGATTGGTGTCTTAAGAGATGAAAAGGCATTTTCACTGCTCTCTTTATCTCACAATCCATATCCGATGTTAGGAAATACCACTGTCTCTACCTTCAAAATATATCCAGATAGTAACCACTTTTCACTGCCTGCATTGCTACCACACTCATCCAAGCTGCCATCACCTCTCATCTGGATTACCTGCAAGTCTCCTCAAAAGTCTTGCTATTGCTGTTTGTGTTCAATCTACTCAGGATCCTGCTATAATGTCAGAGTATATCCCTCCTCCACTCAGAATCCTTAAAGACCCTCCATCTCAGAGTAAAGGCCAAAGTCCATAGCAGGACCTACAAGGCCTCTCCTACTCTCCAGGTTCATCTCCTACTCCTCTTACTCTCAGCTACTAATGGCTTCCTCCCTGTTCCTTAAGCTGGGCAGGCACAGTCCTGCCTCAGGGCCTTTGCACTAGCCATTTCCTTTGTCAGAATAGTCTTCCCCAGAGACTCATGTGCTAGCTCCCTCATTTCCCTCAGATATCATTCAAAAGTGAATTCCTGGAAACTATCTATGGTGACAGATATTAACTAGATTTATTGTGGTGATCATGTCACAACATATACAAATACCAAATCATTTTATGTTGTGCATCTGACACGGATACAATGTTATGTGTCAATTATAACTCAATTAAAAAGACAGGTTCGGGGGTGCCTGGGTGGCTCAGTCGTTAAGCGTCCGCCTTCAGCTCAGGTCATGATCCCAAGGTCCTGGGATCGAACCCCGCATCGGGCTCCCTGCTCTGCGGGAAGCCTACTTCTCCCTCTCGCACTCCCCCTACTTGTGTTCCCTCTCTTGCTGTGTCTCTGTCAAATAAATAAATAAATCTTTAAAAAAAAAAAAAAAAGACAAGTTCGTAGAAGAGCTTTTTTTTTTTAAGATTTTATTTATTTATTTATTTGAGAGAGAGAGCGCACATGCAAGCATGGGGTGGGGCAAAGGGAGACAGAATCTCAAGCAGACTTCCCGATGAGCATGGAGCCTGATGCCTGGGCTCGATCCCAGCACCCCAAGACCACGACCTGAGCTGAAACCAAGAGAGTCAGATGCCCAACCGACTGAACCACCCAGCTGCCCCAAGGAGAGATTTTTCTAAATACTCTATCAGTGGAAAAATAAAAATTATACAGTACAAAAAAGCAGATTCTTCTGTGAGGATTTCCACTGACACTACACTTAAATTTCAATCTGTCACTCTGATACCTCACAACCCCATTCCCTTTTACTTTTTTTAATTGAGATATAACTAACATATAACATTATATTAGTTTCAAGTGTATAGCATAATTAGATATTTCCTGCAAAATGATCACTACCATAAGTCTAGTTAACATCATCACCATACATAGCTACAAAATTTTTTGTCTGTTATGAAAACTTTTGAGATCTACTCTCTTAGCAACTTTCAAATATACGATATTATTAACTATAGTCACCATGCTGTATATTACATCCTATGACTTATTTATTTTATAGCTGGAAGTGTGAAGTATGTATTTTTTAACCACCTTCATTCTGCATACCCCACTCCTACCTCTGGCAACCACTAGTCTGTTCTCTGTATCCATGAGCTCTTTTTTTTTTTTTTTCCTGATTCCACATGTAAGTGAGATAATATGCTATCTTATCTTTCTTCTTATTATTTCATTTAGCATAGTATCTCCAAGGTCCATTCATGTTGTCACAAATGTCAAAATTTCCTTTTTTATGGCTGAATTTTATACACACACACCACATTTTCTTTATCTATTCATCCACTGATGGACACTTATGTTGCTTCCACATCTTGGCTATTGAAAATAGTGTTGCAAAGAACATGTGGGTTCAGATATCTTTTCAAGTTAGTGTTTTGTTTTCTTCAGGTAAATACCCAAAAGTGAAATTGCTAGATCATATGGTATTTCCATTCGTAAATTTTTGAGGAAACTCCATACTGTTTTCCGTAGTGGTGGGAGCAATTTATATTCCCACCAACTGTGCAAGAAGGTTCCCTTTTCTCCACATCCTCACCAACACTGGTTATTTCTTCATGATAACAGCCATTTTAATAGGTGTGAGGTGATCTCACTGTGGTTTAATTTGTATTTCTCTAATGATTAGTGATGTTGAGCATCTTCTCATGTACCTGTTGGCCAACTGTCTTCTTTGGAAGAATGTCTATTCAGGTCCTCTCCCTTCCCTGCTTTATTTTGTCCTTAGCACATATCACTGTCTAACACACTATATACTTTACCCATTTATTTTCTGTTTCCCCAAGTCAAAGGGAAACACCACAAAGCAAGCAATCTTGTCTAATCGGTTTACTGCTGTTTTGAATAGTGCCATGCACATAGCAAGCACTCAAAACATATTTATTGAATGACAGAATTTCTTAGAATAGTCTATATTACCCCAATCAAAGGAAAGAATGGGTGTAAAAGGGAGGGGAGGAGGGGAGAAACAGCTAAAGAAAATTCTAACGAGTAAGAGCTATAATTATAGCTTTCATTTATTATGTCTTCTTTCAATCATTTATTCACAATTTTCTAATTGCATTCTTGATGAGTATCTGGGTTCAACAAAAAAGGAGTGAATGCACTAAGCCAAGTTTGTTTCTTTTTTTTTTTTTTAATTTTTTTATTCTTATATTATCCCCATACATTACATCATTAGTTTTAGACAAAGTTTGTTTCTTATTCACGATGTTCCTCTTTTGATTTTGCGTCTTTACTCTCCTGGACTCCTAAGAGAATTGCATCTGCTTCTAGTATAGTTGTATCTGCAGTCGCTCCCAGGAACCTAGATGTAAGTTCAAGATCTAATAGCCGCAGTCGGACTCTGGTTCCCTTTTGGTATTTCCTAAATAGTAAGAAAAACAATTCCATGAATTCTGCACATCACAATATGAACAACTAGTTTAAAGTAAAACTCAAATTCTAATTTTAATGTGGTGGCTCAAAATAAAGAAGTTAATACATCTTTCTTTTTTTTTTAAACTTTATACCAGTATCTGAAAAATAGTTGTTTTTGACAGAAAAGTAATTTAGATGTATCAGAATTTTTATGTTAAGGTGCCTCTTAAAGATTTTATAAGCAAAATAAAAACATAGTCCAAACCAAAATTCAAACAAGTCAATTCTTGAAATTGATATTTATTTTAATATGTCATTCATTTTTTAAAATCAGAGAGTGAAATCAAGGGGAAAAAAAGATTTTCAGATACATTTTTTTCTTCTAACGTTAAAAATCTTCTTTTAAAGTAAAGGAAATTGTACAAAAGCAAAATGGAAAAAAGTCAAAATGTGAAGCTTAGCGCTGGGGCTTGACCACACTGTAATTAGTGTGATGACAGCCATAATATGCACGATGGCTCATTTTGATCAATAAAATCATATTTTACAATACCAAATGAAAACCTAAAGTCACTTGCCTTCTTCCCTGATCAAGTATTTTAAGAGTGCAATACCAACATTATGAAAAGGTGCAGGAGAATGAAAATATTGCTACTGATTGAAATCCAAAAATCTTTAAAGATCTAAATATACAGGTATACCTTGTTTCATTGTGCTTCCCTTTGCACTTTGCAGATACTACGTTTTTTACAAAGATTTGTGGCAACCCTGTGTAAATGAATGTATTGCTGCCATTTTTTCAATAGCATTTGCTCACTTTGTGTCTCTTTGTCGCATTTTGGTAATTTGCACAATATTTCAAATTTTGTCACTGTTATTATATTTGTTGTGGTGATCTGTGATCAGTGATTACAACTGGTTGAAAGCTCAGAAGATAGTTGCAGTTTTTAGCAATAAAGTATTTTTTAATTAAAGTATATGCAGCTAACCTTTCAGTAGGGTTTGAACTGCACAGGTCGACTTATATGTGTATTTTTTCCAAGAAATACAGTACAGTACTGTAAATATATTTTCTATTCCTTATGATTTTTCTCAATAACATTTTGTTTTGTTTTTGTTTTTTTTTTAGAGAGAAAGAGTAAGCACAAGCAGGGGAGGTGCAGAGGGAGAGGAAGAGAGAGAATCTTAAGCAGGCTCCATGCCCAGAACTGAGCCCGAGGTGGGGCTTGATCTCATGACCCTGAGATCATGACCTGACCTGAAACCAAGAGACAGACACTTAACTGACTGAGCCACCTAGGTGCCCCCAATAATATTTTCTTTTCTCCAGTTTATTTTATTATAAGAATACAGTATATATAATATACATAACATACAAAATACACGTTAACTGACTATTTATATTATCAGTAAGACGTAAGACTTCCAGTCAAGAGTAGGCTATTGGTAGTTAAGTTTCTGGGAAGTCCAAAATTATACACAGATTTTCTACTGTATGGGGGCTAGTGCCCTTAACTACTTCATCGTTCAAGGGTGAATTGTACATTGCTTTTTTAGATACAATGCTTTTATTGCACACTTAGTAGGCTAAAGTATAGTGTAAACATAACTTTTATATGCACTGGGAAACCAAAAAATTCATTTGGCTCACTTTATTGCAATATTTGCTTCATTGTGGTGGTCTGGAACCAAGCCTGCATTATCTCTGAGGTATGCCTGTGCACTCTGAGTATTCTAAGTTAATTTTATTATTTATTTATTTATTTATTTATTTATTTAAAGATTTTATTTATTTATTTGACAGAGACCGAGATAGCGAGAGCAGGAACACAAGCAGCGGGAATGGGAGAGGGAGAAGCAGGCTTCCCCCCGAGGAGGGAGCCCGATGTAGGACTCGATCCCAGGACCCTGGGATCATGACCTGAGCCAAAGGCAGACGCATAACGACGTGAGCCACCCAGGCGTCCTAAGTTAATTTTAAAATTAAATAATTTTACATAAATGGAAAGTAAAGAAACAAAGTACACCAAAAAAGTCACTGGAAAAGGAATTTTGTAGAACATATAACGAGTAGTCTCCACATGATATTTGATTAGGTGTTCTGAAGGAATTTATAAATGGTCCATTAGGTAAAAATGAAGGCTATTCAGTTTTTTTTCTGTTTTTTTTTTTTTAAAGATTTTATTTATTTATTTGACAGAGAGAGCAAGAGTCCAAGCAACGGAAGCTGCAGGACAGAGGTAGAAGCAGGCTCCCCGCTGAGCAGGAAGCCTGATGCAGGACTTGATCCCAGGATCCTGGAATCATGATGTGAGCCAAAGGCAGACGCTTAACCGACTGAGCCACCCAGATGCCCCAGGGTTCTTGGTTTTTTAAAAAACATATTTTTCTTTCTGATTGTAGAAGCAAACGTTCTTTTGTAAAACTGTAAAACAGTGAAGTCAGTCATATTTTCTAGTCCTTCTATATGTATATTTACATGTATGTATACATGAGTGTGTATTTGACAGCATAGATCTTACTTTGTTTAAAAAACTGAAGATATCCTAGAATATTAATTGAGGCATAGCTTTATATTCTTAGAAAACAGCAATTATAAGACATATTCTATATGAATTAACCACTGGGAAAATAAGGTTAGTGCATAGACAAGGTAAAACTGAACACTATTTTCTATATTACTTGGAACTATACTCTATGTTCTAATAGATTCTTTCATTTGTCCTTACAGCATGACTCACAGTAATTCATCCAATCAGCTTTGATTCATGTTGACCCCTCCTCCCCTCCTTTCCTGCAACATCCAGTTAGCAAGTTTAGTTCATTTCTTTAACAGATATTTCTTGAACTTAATCCTTCAAGTCTCGTCACTCCCTTTTTTTTTTTTTAAAGATTTTATTTATTTATTTGAGAGAGAGAGAATGAGAGACAGAGAGCACGAGAGGGAAGAGGGCAGAGGGAGAAGCAGACCCCCTGCCGAGCAGGGAGCCCGATGCGGGACTCAATCCCGGGACTCCAGGATCATGACCTGAGCAGAAGGCAGTTGCTTAACCAACTGAGCCACCCAGGCGCCCTAGTCTCGTCACCCCTTAGCTGAAGCTTGAGGCCTGATGTGATCTTCTCAGAGCCACATTTCTAGCCTGCTTCTCAAGATGGGTTCCATACGTTGGCCTAATGCCCGCTCCCACATACTTCTATTCCTCTGTACTTTTGCTTCTGTTGCCAGCACTGCTTGAACTTATCATCTATCCCATTGATTCTTAAGCTCTAGGCAGAACTGGATATATCAAATGTAGCTCCCAAGAACCTTGATCTTCTCCTTGTTGGAATGAAGAGTCTGTCACTGGAATGCCCATGGAAGAAAGAGGTTTTGCGGTCATAGACTTAATGTAAATCTGAGCCCTGCTACTTACTGGTTGGGTAATCCTGGGTAACTTGCTTTCTCTGAACCACAATTTCCTCATCTACAATGATAGTGATTCCAACTACTTTGCAGCTGGAGGTTAAATGGGATAATATGTTGAAAACACTTAGCATATGACCGCAAATGTTAGCGCGCCTCACATACTTGTGTTGGTTATCTGCTTAAGTCTCTGATTTCTCATCAGTCTGTATGCCCCCCCAAGGTCTGGCACCGTTATTTATCTCTGGATCCTTCCAGTACTGATGTAGCAGGTACTCAAATGTCAGCCAATAAATTAGTATGATAAAAGCCACCAGGTCACAGGGGGCGCCTGGGTGGCTCAGTTGGTTAAGCGACTGCCTTCAGCTCAGGTCATGGTCCTGGAGTCCCGGGATTGAGTCCCGCATCGGGCTCCCTGCTCGGCGGGGAGTCTGCTTCTCCCTCTGACCACCCCCCCTCATGTGCTCTCTGTCTCTCTCATTCTCTCTGTCTCAAATAAATAAATAAAATCTTAAAAAAAAAAAGAAAAGAAAAAAAAAGCCACCAGGTCACAGATGATCTAGAATTTCTATTTTCTTGGCTTTAGCAGCTGTGTACATTTACTGGTACATTTACTCAACCTCTCTGAAATTTGCCTGGCACTGTGCCTAGCATATAGTGGTTAATAAATGTTAGTTTTCTTCTTCCATTGTTCAATTGTTGGCTTCTTTCTTTTCACTTAGTTTTAGGAGTATTACTCATCGGTAGATTATAAACTAATCATGAGGAGATGAACAGTGGCTTTTTATAAAAACAGTTGAACACGCCACAAACACTAGGGACAAAAAATTCTGGGCAAAGTCATAGTAAAGAAGAAGTTCACAGTATAAGTGGTTCTGTAAATGATAAAAATCTCCAATTAAAATAAAAACAGAAACACCATGAGTGCCCAGTATGCTTGGTAATTTATGGAAGGCAAAAGTTTGTTCCCATTTTTAGATGTGGTAGCCTTTTTCTTTTTTTTTTTTAAAGATTTGTTTACCTATTTTAGAGAGCGAGAAAATGAGTGGGAGGGGGAGAGGGAGAGAGAATCTCAAGCGGACTCCGCACTGAGGACAGAGCCCGACACTGGGGTCGATCTCAAGACCCTGAGATCACGACCTGAGCTGAAACCAAGGATACGACACTTAACCAACTGTGCCACCCAGATGCAGTAGCTTTTAATGATTTTAATGCTTTGCCTTCATCTCTAAAAAATATGGAAATTCTGGGAATTACCCAGTGAGATGGAAATGGGAGATGAAAAACAAACTGCAGGCCTTTATGTGTGTTGAAAGAAGAATTATCCAAATATATGCATTGTGCACTACATAAAACAAAACAAAACAAAACCTTTAAAAGATTCTCTTACTTCTGCTATCTAGAGTAGCTGTTTCTACTTTTATGGTACTTCATTTTTACTCTGTATTATTACAGTTACTTCCATGTGTTATCTCCTTTAACAGACTATAAGATCCTTCAGGGTGGGGATTTCATATCTGTCTCTTACAGTACCATGACGACATTTCACATAATGTAGCCTTCTGAACAGTGATTTTCACACTTTCCAGTATATCAGAAACACC